CCTTGTGATGCTGTGACATATGGAAGCTTAAGGGCTTCTTAAATATCCATATCAATCTGCACGCTTGTCAGCTTGACAATGACAGAAACAGAACACCATTAACAGCGTCAGGCAGTATCATCCTCATCTGTGCAACATTAGAGAAATAGATGGAAGACATTCCACTGGACGTTGGCCAAGCCAGTGCACGGAGAGCGGATTACAGTTGTGACTTTTTAATTGGTTGTAATATTTAACTGTTAGACCTTAATGTTGGGTTTGACGTGTGCGTTCTCTGGTTTATTTTTGAACATCTCTACCAGTGTCATGTAGGGTTGGAGCTTCCTGTTCAGTTCAAAAGTCAGAAATATAATATCCTGTTTTAAAAAGGATCTGATTGCATTGATTTCATTGTTCTGCTCTGTCTTGGTAATGCATATATGCTTGTGACCGTGTGAGGTGATTGTCCTCTTCCTGCTGCACAAAAAGCATTGTACTCTGCTCTCCCGGGATGGGAGATGTTTTGTTTTTTGAGCTCTTTCACACAAGCTCTCCCTCTTTTTTTTTTTTTTTTAAACACAATAGCCCTCTCTCCTCTCACCCAGCGTGGCAACCCTTTCAAACGGGAAGCTCCAGGTCAGTTTCCCTTGCCAAGTTTTGCAGCCTGCCATGTTGTCTATTCTGCTCAGCTATTTAAAAAATGTTGAATATCAACAATGGCTTTCACTGGTGCATTGTCAACTTTTGTATGAAGCAATCTTGGCTGAATGAGATGGGTCCCAGAGCAGGGAGAGCTCAGCTGCAGTGTGCACTACCACACCAGTGACTGCCCGGCTCTCTCGCTCTTTATATTTCTCTGCTGCACTGGGAGCTGCCATGGTGGTGGAGGTGCTCCCGTCTGAATGGCCGTGGTTGGAGTCTAGGATGAGGCTCTGGGCTGTGGATGTCATTGCTATCTCACAGTCCATGGTCCTGCTCTTGGGCCTGCTGACAGCCAGCTGTTGAAGGTGTGTCTAACAGAGGGGATTGGGAAGCAGCAGCAGCAGCCTCGGGGACCAGTCAGAGCCTGGTGAGTGTCCTCAATTTTCTGGCCAGAGTGGGAGGAGGTTAGTAGTGAAGAGAGGAGAGAAGAGGGAGGGGGGGAGGGGGGGCGTTCAGGGAGATGGTGCATGGAGCTTTGTGTTCTGTGAGTTGTGTTTACTGTCTCTGCTTATGCATATACAGTATATGTGTCTCATTTAACCAGTGGAAGTTTTTAAAGACACGACATGGCACCTGTTGGTCTAGATCAGGAGTTCTCAAGCTTTTTGGATATCGGGGCAGTTAAGCTAGACCAGAATGCGTCTCTTTCTAGGCATGTTTTCATTCACATAAAAATAATCTGCTTTGACTGTCTAATAAATGGGTTTTCCCACATTGTTCTCCCTCATTAAACAATCCAGAATCTATCAAAACGCAAACAACTGGACTCATCTGTGCGGCCCAGGAGCCAACACTGCACGGACCAGTACAGGGTCGCGGCCCCATAATTGAGAATCACAGGTCTAGATGTAATTCCGGTCAAACACAGTAGAGTTAAAAATAGTTAAGTTAGAAGTTTGAGAATTTGAACATATGGAAAATATAAAAGCGACATCTCTTCTGTCCTGTTCCAAAAAATACTGACACAGTCTTTGTAAATCAGAACTTGTGCTCCACTTCTTTTATGTGCCACCGCTGTACAGTCTACAAACCATTTTGACACTTTAACAATGTCCAAACTGCCTACAATACCAAAGTCCTGTCTGATATGCCCGCTGGATGCATCAGTGACTTTATGCTGAGCTCTGTGTGTTTGCACAAGCACATACATCTATGTTTGTGTAAGTGAAGAGAAAGATGAAAGCACGAACGAGGGCTTGCTTCCAGATAATAGTAGCTTAGGCTCTTTGTCCTGCTGTCAGCCAGGAGAGGAGTGAGGCTGGAAATCGCTCCAATGCAGCGGCAACATCTTGTATGTTTCATTGACATATCAGTCTATGGGGCAATGAGCTGTCGCCTCTGCACTCTTCTGGTCTGTGTGTGTGTGTGTGTGTGTGTGTGTGTGTGTGTGTGTGTGTTTGTGTTTATGGATGTGGGTGAGTGTGCGTAAAAAAGGTGGCACACTGAGGTGTAGGTCTTTATTAGCTGTGTTGGTGAAAAGTTAAAGATGCGAAATGGAAAAGTAAAGCGTTATCGGTGCAACACAATCGTTTGAGCTGCTGAGAACATTAAGAATTAAGCACAATAAGGATTTTTTACTGCTATTTAATGTGTTGTTTTGCTTTTTAAAATAATTTTATTTACCATATTTAGAGGCTACAGTGACAAAAGTTAATATCACAGACAGCAACTGTAGCGATATGGATACAGTTTCTAGTTCAGTCAAAAGGAAACTTATTTAAAATTAAAAAATGTATGTCTTTCTTATTTATTGCCACAATGTCAGCTCCAACATGAAATTTCATATTATTTAACTTGGAATCTGGATTTGTTTGTCACACTGAACACCAATTTTTTTACGTTGATTCTGAATATATACCGAATTTTCTAAAAATGTACAGAATTTAAACACACATTCCTCATATAATTGGTTAAAGTAAAAAAAAGAACGTGCTTAAGTGTGAAATGGATTTGCCAAACCTTTTTACCTGAAAGCTCTGAATGTTCCGGTCCCAGCAAACCGAGTGGAGACAGCCTACCTTCTCGAGGACCTGCGCTGTCCTCTGTCTCACCTCTCTGAGCTCAACCCAAGGCAAGGTGACCAAATTCATCTCAGACCAGCCCATCCATTATCTTGTCAACACAGTCAGCTTCCCGCCTTAGTTTGCTCTTCTCCCAGAAGACTTACTCTAATGAAATACCCAATAATCACAGCACTCATCTTGTCATGCTCAAGGTAATTAATATATTTAGAGGGCGATGGCTAACTCTTAATTAAATTATGCCTCTTTTAATGAGACCTTGGCTGGGACAAAATTTATGACCACTATCTGCTTTATCAAGTGCTTTGCACGCAACAAAGATTTGTCATTCTCTCCCAAATCACAGCTAGATTACACACAATGGTACTCATGATTTATATATCAATTTATGCTTGTTTGTTTCTTTATTTAAGGTTTAATAAATTACCTCTTATAATTAACTAACCTAGTTTTGGGTTCCTAAAAGCCCCAATTAATGCTCAACGCTGTATCGCTGTTACATATTCATTTTGGAGGAGAATACAGATAACAACTTGGTGGCATTAATCATATTACAAAATTGGGTGTATTTAATTAATTAAAGTTACACTGCAAATTAATTGTGCATTCTCACAATATTATCTTAAACTAATGAAGGTTTGACAAAGAGACTGTTTCATTTTTTAAAAGAGGCTAGATTAGTGGGATCTCAATTATGGCTAAAACAAAAGAGGGCCGCTTGCTTGGGCATGGCGCAAAGCAAAAAGTGACGATTCAGCACTTTCTTCCAAACAAAAAACGGAGAAAGTTTCCATTGTTTTTGGGAAAACTGAACATGGCAATGATTCAAAAGATACATGGAAAATAATGAGTGCTGTAATTAGCCAGTCAGGCAATAACAGTATTTAAAATGATCATCATATAGAGGTGCTTGATAATGCCATTCACAGGCAGCAGTTTCCAAGCAGCAGGCATCTGCTTGCTGACAGACTATCATAACTTTAATGCTGGTGGGAAAAAGAGCATCTGGAGGCCTATTTTAAACCGTGTTCTCTTTTTATTGCACGTATAACATTTGGTATTTTTCAGAGTGCATTCTGAAAACGACCGTTGAAACAGCAAATGAGATGTCTCTATAGGATGAATGAAGATTGCACAGATTAGAGGTTCGAGTGTGAGCTGAGCTTCTGCTGAATTTAGGCAGCAGACACAGAAGTGATCATGTTGCGCACTAGATGGCTTAATCCGGCCTCACCCAGTGGCTCAGAAGCAAAACCATATTTATTGAAATTTTCTGCTTAATTTCAGCTGAATTGAAATTAGCTTTCAATGGGTAGGAGCTTATAATTCACAATCATTTAGTATTTTATTTTTCATTTAACGCATCATATACCAAATGCTTTAATATGACTGTTTCTTCTAATCTGCTAAGTAAACGTGAAGCGTCTTTGTCTACGAAATGACTCCAAGGAGCTAATAATCATTGTATATTCATTTAAAAATGCCTCCACAGATGTCCTCTCCTGTGATATAATTTCATTTGCTTTTAGCTTCATTAGTCAATAACCACAGTTAAAAAATGCTTGTGTCAATTATGGGAACTCCAAGGGTCAGTGAGTATATGAATTTTTAACTGCACACTGCTGCACATGATTACATTGAGTGGTCTTGTAAGAATGATTAACCCTGGCGTGTGTGTGTGTGTGAAAATTTTTTGCATGCACTCATGTTGAGCATACTTGATCCAGTGTGTGTGTGAAATGTGCGTCCCTAAGTGATAAGCAGCTACAACCCAAAGAGGTGATGAAGTGAAAAAACTATTCCCTTGGCTTTGAGTGAGATGGAGCAGAGTGTTGGGTGGTCACGCCTTGTCTGCTCATGACAGTGGCGGGTTAAAGAGATTACACTGGGTCTGTGTCAGCAGCCTTGGCCTTGCTCACACAAGAACATAATGAGGAAGGACATGCTTGGCCTGCCGGGGAGAAAAAAGAGGCTAAAGTTTGAAGCATTCCTCAAAGACAGCTACAGGAGGCAAGCTGCTTTTTGCATGTTGTTTTACAAGCTGAGGTCAGTAAGTAAGATGGTTACATTCCACAGAGCTGAACAAGGTGGCTGCTGAGTGCGGACATATCACTTCTCGGCTTCACTCCCCCGCCACCACAATGAAAACACAAATTACTCTGCTACAGTGGAGGCAAGAATGCAGCGTTCTCCATTAGCCTCGAGTCCTCCTGACAGACTTGCAACACTCCACTAAAGCTCTCCTGAAAAATCGATGCATCTGTCCCTCTGAGTGTGTGTTTTTCGGTTCTTTTGAAGGTTTGAGTGACAGTCCCCTCACCTAATGACTGAATGTAGGCGCTTTCACTGCCTTAGATGGGCCCACAGTAAGAGATGATCCTCTGGGTTGCATCCCAACATGTGGTGAGTTTACTAATCTGCCTGCTTCATCCTTTCCCCGTTCTCTTTCATGATAACTAAAGCTCCACATAGGGCGTGGAAGAATTGAAAAGTGATGACACAGAGCAGCACTTAAGAAAATCCTATTTCTCTTACATATCAGTACCTGGCCTTTATTTATTCTCTGTCCTGATGCACATACGGTAGAGTTTACTTTCATTCTCCTCCTGAAGTAGTGAACACATCTTCAACAAATCCAATTATTCATTTCAAGGTTTCCATCCTCCTTCCATCAAGGTTTTTAATCACATTTAATTTTTCAACATAATAAAAAGGAATTAGATGAAAACAAATATTATTTTGTTGATTGTGGACAGTGTTTGTCATAATTCTTCTTAAATAGAGACTTAAAGCAGCAGCAGAGTGCAAAAATATTCTCATATTATTAATAACGCTGTGAAAAAAGTATATTACTTTGACAATGTTTCAAACTAAATCAAAGACTCTCATTAGGTGAAGCTCCTCTTCCTAACAGATATGTCACATATATCCTCTAAAATGCAATCAGTAAAAAAAAAAAAAAAGGTTTTGTTTGCTAGAATAACTCATAATATTAATGTCTGAATTTCCCAAAACAGAATCCAGGACTGTAAATGCATTTTACAGGGGCCTTTAAATTTGTTTTAGCAGCTTTAGTAAGAATTTCCTGACACAAATTAATGCACCATGGCCATTATAAAAAAAATATGTGAATCAAAGATGTGATATAAAACATGTTCAAACGGTTTAAAAATAAAACAACAAAGATCCCACACAGTAAAAAATGTTCCCTCAGCCATGACTCTGCATTACACACAGACATTAAACATTTTAAGGCTATTTTTTTGTTAAGCATTATTTGTCAACGACAACTCTTATGGGTCAAATAAGTCAAATTACCATCAGGAATACTAGCCCTGCTTTGTGGAATAAAGAGGTGATAATAGCAGCACTTTTATTCCTTTAAATGACCCGTGAATATTATTTTACCTGTGTTGAACTGGGAGGACGCAACCATTCACGCCGACACAATAGGAACAGCAGACCGTGCGTAAATTGCATCTTCATTTGCATTCCTCGTCCAAAAATCATGCAAATCTTAATGAGACAGTTTCCATTGTGGCTGTAATTGAAAACCCATTCTTTGTTAATTACTGTTTCTCAAAGGCCTTGTCCGCAGTCACTGAGCTGAAACAAAAAAAGTTATTGATTCTCAGGGTCGTGGGGTTTAAAATGGACACGTAAAATAATGTTGTTTATTGTGGGTTTGAGATGCGACTTTCGATTGTGAGAAAATATATTTGTCTTATTTGGGAATTGTCAAAAATGTGATGAAAACAAAAAACACTTGTAAACGCTGGCTATAAACGATAACATGGGCAATAAAAAAAGCAATAAATTACAAGCCATTATCAGTTACTTATTTGTAGCTGAATGGCAGACATGCAGCGCCTGTGTCTCGTCGTATAATATTAAAGTTGAGCTCATTTTGTCCGTCGTGAATTGAAATGGTCTGACCATAAAGCCCTATTGACAGCCGAGCAAAGGATGCGGACATGCAGACAACTGAACCGGTTTCAAAAGGTGGGATTAATTCCATTTTGTGTCAATTAGTCGGCCTGAATGGATTCTAATTCCCATAAAGCTCTCTGCAAATATAACTAACATTTTATTTTCTTTTATTTCCGAGGCCCAAAGGCCACAATTATACCTCTTCTCCAACAAAAACCTTTATTTTCTGTGATTCCTGTCAAGTATAGTCGCCAGACTTAATGCTGTGTCGACATAAATGTCAGATTTAAACAAAATTCTTGCTTTTAACAATCCGATGCGCCTTTATTGCAACGAAAAACTAAAAATGTAATAGATTTTTCCTCAAGACTCGATGGTTTGGGCGATAATAGTGCCCCCCCTCCCTCCACATGCACAATCAATTCATTATTTTAAACTTTAAATAATCTCCGATCGAGCTGATTGCATGCAGGTTATATCCTCCCATCAGGACATCCACATATTTCCCAACATTCAACAGTGGGATCCTGCAGCCGTGCGCCCTGAGAGCCCCTTTGGGCTGTCAGGCTTGTTGAGTCTGAATCAGAGCAGACTGTGCTGGTGGTCCTCCGTTCCTTAATTAGGAAATTAGCTGCACAGAGGCCCTCATTACCAAACTCCGGGTTACTCCTGGTGTGTGTGTTTTTTTCTCTTTCTCTCTCTCTCTCTCTCTCTCTCTCTCTCTCTCTCTCTCTCTCTCTCTCTGCTACCGGTCAATTTCCATAAGAAGATTACAAGCGGATCAGTATTGAGATCTGGGCAGATAAACAAATAGCCTAACTGGTCCCTGAGAATAGATGGCTGCTAATTGGACGTTAGTTTTATTGCTCCTGCTCTGTTTGTGACGCCCCATTGAACGCGAAAATTAAATTCATGAAGTGATGTCTCTTTTCAGCTGATTTACTACAACTATATGGCTGAGGGGCTATAGGCGTTCCCTCCCTTTAAAGATAACAGAGCAGCTATTTGGGCCTATGTATAGACTCATTTTAGAAGTCATAAATATTATTGGCAAATTAATGTCTGCTTTTGAGTTCTTAGTGTATTAACCTGTTTTTTTTTTTTTTTTTTTAAAGAATATCTACAAAATACATTTTAATGTCCTTAAATCCAATTCGCTTTTAGATGGATTTTGACATTTTACTTTGAAAGCGGAAACTTTCATTCACACTTGGGACTAAAAGAAGGGCAACAATGACTGACAGACGAGATCTGTTCATTGATAATTTAATAGAAGCAGCTCATTTAAGCCTTTAAAATAGAGAGAACTACGCTCTTGATTCAGTGTTTCAACTAAAGAACAAATCCAGGTCTTTACGATGAGAAATGACAGCCTGCTTTTAGAGAATAAAAGTCTGTTCGGTGGACCCACCGCCCTGCAATCTCTCATAAAATTCAGGAGGCCCTACAGTAAAGCTCCGGGAGGTGAAACGCTTTTTTAAAAAAAAAAAATGCACATAGGCTACCAGAATGATCCCTGCGGAGCTCATCTAAATACCGAGGTGTTAATAGTCGCTTTCGATGGGCGATCCTCTCGGAATCATTAGCAGGTGTGAGGCTTTGCCCTGTTGAGCGATGGGTTTCAGCGGCGTTTAGGGTCGTTTGTAAGGAGACACATGCAAAACGAAGTCATCATTTTAATAACCATTAACACCGCGGAGGGAAAACAAGTCGGCAAACAGGAGCTGGCGATCTGCAGTCGCTCACACAAACCGAGAGAACTTTTTCCCCTCTGGGATTAAAGAGATGGCCCGTCCCCTCCACAAGAGGTCGTTGATGCATTAAAGTTTTGCATTGTGGCTCTCTCTCCCTTCCTCCCACCCTCCTCCTCTCTCACACTGCAACAACATCCACATTAACGTGCCATTAACTTCATCTGAAGCTGAGTATTGTTGACGTATTTTAAAAGCATGTTGATGTAGTTTTATCAGATGTTGGTATTAGTTCATTTACTTGCATTTATTATTAATATTTTATTTATACTGGTGGCGTTATCCGCCTTATTCTTTTTTATTTCAGTAGCCTACATTTCCACACTAGAGGATGTTCTCTCACAGGAGTTAAATTACATTGGAGGGAAACTGATTTATTTAAGGCCCTCTGAATGTGTTTATATAAAGGGAAAATTCATACAACGCCGAAGCAAAAATAAATACATTTTAAGAAAAACTTCCGAGTAGGTGGTCCACAAGGTTTCCGAAATATTTTAAGGACTTCTGTTTAAAAGGAAAAAAAAGATATCGGTGCATTGAAGTCTTTGACAGCACCGAAATCCTTATCCTTATCCTTAAAATAAGAAATAATATTTTCTGAAAATGTGATTAAAGCAACAAAAGGCATGTTTGACAGCAGGTGGAGATGAAAGGATTTCTCTCTGCCAAGGGCACATTTTATTCCAATATTCCACCTTTTGCTTGAACTATTTAAACTAATTTTAGGCGTGTTTTTTTTTTTTTACCTGTTGAGATTTGCCTCTGTAGCTAATTGATTTATTTACACTGATCCCTAAGACTTGTGTTTCCCTGCAGCATACATTACATAGATGGCATATGCTCTTTTTAAATTGTATAAAAGGTGTAGCCTAGCCTAGGTTGATGGTTCTACACAGTGTTTATAACTTTTGGTTTAAAAGGTTTGACTCTTTTTGTTTTATTCAACAATTTCAGTCCAAAAATGTAGAGAAAAAAAGTTTAAAAAGTAACAATTTGATCTAATCTAATCTAATTTGTTCCTAAATGATCCTGATGCGATCAGCCAATACCTGTTCAATAACAAAAATCGATCGAGTGCATTTCCCGTTAACCACTCATCTATATTCTCGGATTATAAAGGTTGTAAATCTCTAACATTTAGCGCTCAGGTTGTCGAGCTGCGCTGCTGTTTTAAAACTTTACCTCTCCCTCCTCCTCTGACCAAAACACAGCGCCGTGTGCTCTGGTTGGCTACACCGTGGGTATGGTGAGCTGCGCGCTGATTGGTCGCCTGCTCCTCATTGTCATGCTGTCAATCCACATCACATGGTCCGGCCACTAGGCCTATTAACACATGAGCTTGGCGAGCAAGTTTACAGACTTCTGTTTCAGAGCCGTGGGGGACAGAGCAGCTTTGAGCGGAGAGAAACCAGAAGCACCTGCAGACACATTTGCCTCTTTGGGCACAACTTTTTTTCCTCCATCTTATGAGACTGGTCAGTATCTCTACCTCTTTGACTGTTGGCGCTGTTTTGTGAACTTTTTTTTTTTATGTGCCTGTGAGTGAACACTGAAAGTCGCCAGAATGTATAACATGATGGAAACCGAGATCAAGACCCCGCTCCCGCAGTCCAACTCGGGCTCGGCGCCGGGCGCAAAGAACAACAGTGTCAGCGACCAGGAGCGGGTGAAGAGGCCGATGAACGCCTTCATGGTGTGGTCCAGGGGACAGCGGAGGAAGATGGCACAGGAAAACCCCAAAATGCACAACTCTGAAATCAGCAAGCGGCTCGGGGCTGACTGGAAACTTCTGACCGACGCCGAAAAGAGGCCATTCATCGACGAGGCCAAGCGTCTGCGCGCTATGCACATGAAGGAGCACCCGGATTATAAATACCGTCCCCGCAGGAAGACCAAGACCTTGCTCAAGAAAGACAAGTATTCTTTGCCAGGGGGACTGTTGGCGCCAGGAGCCAACGCCGTCAACAACTCTGTGTCGGTGGGGCAGCGCATGGATGGTTACGCGCACATGAACGGGTGGACGAACAGTGCGTACTCCCTCATGCAGGACCAGCTGGCCTACCCTCAGCATCACAGCATGAACAGCCCCCAGATCCAGCAGATGCACCGGTACGAGATGGCGGGGCTCCAGTACCCGATGATGTCCTCGGCGCAGACCTACATGAACGCGGCTTCCACGTACAGCATGTCTCCAGCGTACACGCAGCAGACCTCCAGCGCCATGGGACTGAGCTCCATGGCGTCCGTGTGCAAGACCGAGCCGAGCTCACCGCCGCCGGCCATCACGTCCCACTCTCAGCGGGCGTGTTTGGGGGACCTGAGGGATATGATAAGCATGTACCTGCCCCCCGGCGGGGACAGCGCGGAGCATTCCTCCCTGCAGAGCAGCCGGTTACACAGCGTCCATCCGCACTATCAGACCGCAGGGACTGGCGTCAATGGGACGCTACCTCTCACCCACATCTGAGAGCAACAGAAAGAAAAAAGACTTCAAACTTTAAAAAAAAAGTACTTCGGATACTTGAACTTTTTGGTTGCTAAAGAAACAACGCTCAACAGTTTTATCTCAACATCTCTTGTTGTCCATTTAAAAAAAAAATTAAAAGAAAGTTCATTAAAATGGACCCGAAGAGGCTTTTTATCACAAGTATAAGCAATCAACGTATGTAGAAGAATTGGACTTCTATATTTTAATTAATGCCATATTTTCTCTCTATGAAAAGGCATGTGGCCTCATTAAGAGAGGCTGGTGTATTTCAGAAAAGCTGGATGGAAAGTTGGTTCATAAATGTTTACACTTAATTTGTAGAGTGTCAGTTGTCTCGACTGTGTCCAAATTTTGTAGTCTGTCTGTGTCTTTCTTTTTTCTCCTTCTCCCCCTCATGACCTAGGTTAAAATGAAATGTTAAGACTGTGCGGGTCGCAAACGCAAGTTTTATTTATAGTAAGATTTTTTTTTTTTTTTTTAGCTTGTGAACCCGATGTTTTGTCACGTGAATAATGTTCAGATTTGTTTTTGTAAAATGTTATTTTCTGTGATGGTTTTGACAGTGTCATGTTTACTCATTATCCTGAACGAAAAGGTTTATTTAAACTGACGTTTCTACATATTTTAAGACCATCCTCTATTCTTAAATGCTGAATAAATTTGTACGAAACATGATTTTTTGACTCTGTCTTTTGTGTAATATGAGGCTTGCAAATATGAGTTTGCTTGTTCTAAAATCTCTGGACTGTAGGTCCATCTGCCTATGGAATCCCAAGGGAGCATAACATTGAAAGGAGATTATTTCATAGGTGATGTGAACACGCTGAACGACGATCTGTTATTTTGATAATCTCAGTACAGTGATATTTTCACTTGTAACACATCAGGTTTTTCTTCATGGGGAAGGTGCTGCACAAATAGTTTAGTTTTCCAATTTCTTTACAGGCTTTAAAGATAAATGACTTAAAAAAATGCTAGGTATTGTTTAAATGTCCACTTCAAATTAAGAATTAAAATAAAGAATGAATTTTACATAGTTCCTACACCTTTTGATTATTTTTTTTCTCTGATATTTTTGCTGCGTTGTTATTGGCGCATTAGTTTTGGATTAAGGTTAATAGAAAAAATATGGTAGTATCTCTTTTTTCCTTTTTCAGTTAGTTCGTGAAAAGAGTGTATTTTAATTGCCTTTATGAAGTTGCAATACTATTCCCTAAGTTTACCCAATTCACTCCATTATTTTCTAAATATTTACTTGGTGAAACAGACTATGAGTATATAATTCCACAGGTTGTCATCACTTTGCTGCTTCAGTCAATATGAATGCGTTTTTTAATTCGTTTTATTACAATTAAGGGTCTTTCTTTTTAAAATGAATTTAATCTAAATGCATAACACTAAAACAAAAAAATGGGTTAAGCATCCAATCACTTCACATTGAAAAGTGGTGTAAGCTTAGAGAAAGAATCCACTGAAACACAAGAGATGACACCTGAAAGCTTTGTAAATTTACTTTGTATGTTGGTGCTGATGTACCAAAGTCTGATTCATGACTGTTATATAAAATAATATGACTGACTTTAAAGAATCAAATTAAATACTTCAATCCTAAATATTTTGCCTGTTGCCAGAGGATTTCCTCATGTAGTCCTATATATAATTTAGAATATGCACAGAGAAATTTCTGTTGTGCTCATTTACATCTGGAACATTTTGAAATCGCTGGGCACTGTGGCGATTCGTCCACCTCAGAGTTTGTTCTGTTAAAATGTCCTGATGACTCAAGCTAATATAATCTAAATGGTGGATTTAATTTTTCAGCAAATTATACTGAAATTGCGTCACATTCATAAGCTTAACCTCCCTCAACACACTCGCTGTGGCTGCCACTCTAATAATGCAAAGGTGTGTGGAAGAATGGGCCGGCAGTGTACTTAAGGATAAATAAGCTCTGGCCACCAAGAGGGCCGAAGCAGTGGCGGTCCTGCTGGCCTTCCCACACTCCCTGTAGGACTTGATCCACAGCTCAGCACAGCGGCCTGGATTAGCCCCACGCACCTTTGTGGAGGGAAAGATTATCCAGACCTCCCTGCATTCACTGACAGGGTCTTAAGTCATTCTAGCGTGCCAGCAGCCACCCGTCACCTAATCACACTTTCCAACTCATTTTTTTGTAATTAAGCAGCTTTTCTCTTCCTGCTCCTCAGTGTCAGAAGTGCTTGCTGTGGGCTGGACAGAGATGGGTTTTAGTCATATATTCAACTCTGAAAATTATGTGACCTCCCGATGGCTTTCACCTGCACAACTCCTTTGATAAATACATCGAAATGTTGGTTAACTTTCAACCAAAACTTTAAGGCTTCTGCTCAACAACTGATTCAGAAGTTTTAACATTTTGCTTTAGTGAACTATGTCTATCAGGTTCTGTTCAGTAAAACTCTGCTCTCTATGTGATTGCTGGGATTTGCACATGTGATCACATGTAATGATAATTTAGGAGTGAAAGGTTTGGGGAGAGGTGTGTAGCTGGGCCGTGCATAACTATTGATTGTGTTTGAATGTTCTGGCAGTGAGGCCATCCGAGTTGGGCTCCCCACCACCCCCCACCCCCATCCCCCCTCGCTCTCCCCCTGCTGAGCGCCCAGAGGGCCTCTCTCTCCTGTCATGTGGAGCTCTGTGCCCACTCAGCAAGTGCAGGCATATCCCACTTCCATCTGCCTATGACCTCAGAGCCCCTGTTTGTTTAACCCCCTCTCCAAAAACTAACCTAATTATAGCCCTGTAGAACATGGATTCAGCGGATTCCCAATGGATTTTGCCACCGTGTGTCTATGCGCACCTATGTATGTGTTGAGCGCATGCATGGCTCCAGCTTAACAGCAGCAGTGCTCAAGGCCGTATTTCAGCTGATGCTGTTTTTCACATATGTCTATCCTCATATTATGTGAGAACATGCCATACCAGTTGCAAAAAGGTGGTAAGAGCAATAGAAGACTCCTTTTTACGTCAGCGTGATGAGTGGAAAACTCATTACACGAATCTGGCTGACAGACTTGACGTTGGTGACATCACTAACTCGCCTGCTGGACTGGCTTGGCAGCTTCCAGCAGGAACACACCTTCTGAACAAACTCACAACTCTTCACGTAATCTCAGACTCAAATCTGGAACCTCCTCTGATGTGTAGATCAGACATCACCCAACAACATAGTTTGAGTGTAACGGATGAATGGATGTGTGTGGTTAGGGACTGCACCTATGATAGAGTCAGACTGTATTGATTTGCTGTGGCTGGGATCTTCAGGAGGCCCTTTGAGCTGAGCCTGGAGGGGCCTAGAGTGGCCTGTCCAGAGCAGTGGGACTCGTGTGAGGTACTGAGATTGACAGCAGAGCGGTGTGTATGTATGTGTGTGAGTGTGTAGAGGTGCGGGGGTTGGGGTGGGGGTTAATCTCCCTGAACTGGGGCAGATGTTGTTAACGAGCTCCTCTCAGGTCGACTCCCTGCGTGGGAAAATGGCATCAAATCCTCCTGGGGTCAGGGCTTTTGGGCTGACCCACTGAGGGCCATCCCTCTCCACTGCACCGTCCTCTCAATCTCCTCTCCATTCACTCACCCACTCACTCACTCACTCACTCATTCACTGACAGCACTCACCAGAGACACTAGAAAATCACATTTGACCATTTCTCTTTCACTCATCTTTTAAGTACATCCCCAGTTTTTCCGATCCTTGCCTGGACGTATGTGAGCACCAACAGACTTGTTCCGTGATGCAAATATCTCATTAATGATAGCTGTGGTTGGATCACCATGCCTTACACAACCACAAGGAATGCTGAGAGGGAAATGCTTCAAAGGCAAGCATGCCGCCACTCAAAAAACTGCATCCGCCCAGCAGCGAGTTGTTTGTGTTTATGTCACGAGCAGGTATATTAGTTGAATCAAGGCCTTTTAGACTATCAGGCGCCCAAGCTGCCATCGGGCAGGGTATGTAAAGAAATTAACTGAGGGTGCAAGATTACATTTGAAATGAAAAAATGATGTTTTCCTACATTAACCGAAGCTTTGGTTTTATTATGAGACTGGAGGTCTCTGTTGAAGGATATGTAAGTAACACCTGTCAAAGTCAAACTTTTTAAAAACATAATATGTAGCATTTCTGCATAAAATGTGAACACACTACACCTTTGTTATATATTTAGTTGAGTGAGGTACTTAACGTTATTCCAAATGTTCCCAACTATTGCTATAACTTCTGGGTGAACATGGGATATGCGAATATGTCGGATATGTCAGATATCCGACATATTCCATGTTCACATATCCCAGGAAGTCGGAGAACATGACTAAACGTAACATGAATATAGCTTTGATATACTACCTCAACTGTGAACAATTTCTCCCTGAGTCATGTCAAATAGATTTTCATCAGCAATGATGGTTGTCTAACAATGAAGACATCAACTCCCATGATCCCATGCTACTTCAGGACTTCATCAGACTATTTTTTTTGTTATTGCTTTGATGTGAGAGAACCCTTAGCGGCAGAAATAACATACTGCGCGTTTAAATGGCTAATTTGTGAAATTATTAACACTGGGAGAAGATAAATTGCCAAGCACTGTGGCCATGTTGTTGTTCGACCTATGTACAGACTACACTGTACACATGAGTTGGCTGTGATGTGGCGACTTCTCATCATTCATATCCGGAATGGGCATGTCTCTTTACCATATCATGTCAGCATGCCTGCTTTAGGGTTTATCCTGACTTAGGTTTTAATGCGAGGGTCATCCATTAAGGTGTCTGACTCTGAAGGTGTGTTTACTTTTACAGCAGGTGTGTGTGAATATGAGACGTGTCAAATATGAGACAGGATTACCGCCTCTTTTGTCCCAAACAAAACAAACACAAATCACACGAAGAGCCGAAATGGAAGGATTCTGTTTTTTTCTGCCTGGGTTGTATGTTGATAGAGTTTTTCCAACCACGATCCTTTTGACGTTTTTGTTCAACTCAGTGCCACTGAAGTTTACTTGAACTTGTTTTCGCTTGTAATTGTGGTTGAAGGAAGATGTATAAAAACCACACACAGCCAAGAATGAAACTGGATTAAGAGGC